CAAAATAGTAATGAAATATTGTCAGTGGATATTTGGAGTAATACAAGAACAAAAATCTTCATGAAGCACATTCATGCAGCCAAAGACTCTAGAGCACAGGGCTCATGAGCAGATACAGGATATCAGGATGAAGGTCATTAAAAAAGAAATTAGCAGCACCTTCCTATATAAAAATGAGTGTTCTAGGATTTAATCCTGTGAACTACAAAACATTATGGCCTGTTCTTGATCCGGCTAACAGGAAATAACTAAATGTCATATTCCTGTCTTAATTATAGTTTTTATATATTAAATTTATACAGAAAATATGTCAAATTCTGCAGTAACATCTACCACTACAAGGTAATAATTATACACAAATTTTAAAAAGAAACTAGCAACTATTACTATGATATTGTATTGTTACAAGGCCTAATGAAACAATTTGCTTGCTGTGGAATCACCTCTGACACTGCATACACTCGGGAGTTTATGAACTGACATATCCAGAAAAAAAAAAAAAAAACTCCTATTATTTCACCATTAGTAGGTTTACAACAAACAATCTGTTACTTTAAAGAAACACGGCAAGCATACCATGACGTTGTAAGACAGCTTGTCAGGCAAGGTTCTGAGTCTCTCTTGGAGAGCATTATAGTCATTATCTACTTTCTCCCTGTTGAAGAAAAACACCAAACATGAAGTGAGCTCAAAGACCAGCAACTGCAAACAGTTCAGTTGCTGTGGCTAAGTCTCTCTCTCAACTATACAACTGTTGGTAAGGTTCAGCAATGGCACTGTGCTTCCATAAAGTCACTAAAATTAAAATTCCTTTCTGATACAGAACTCTCACATCTTGATGGCCTGGCCTAGATGAAATCAAATGCAGAAATTGAGGAAACACAAAGGAGGGGCTGCTGTTGGAGGGAGCCAGGAACTATAATGACAAAAGTGAATGCATGCAGCCTTTGGGTGAATAAATACCAACTGTACAGCAGAAAGCCAGGGCAAAAAGCATAAGCAGGTGCTGGGGTCCCCAGCAGAAAAGAGTATCATCAGGTGTACAGTCCCCAGCAGAAAACTATAGGCTCAAAGACCGGGTGTCATCAACTCTTCCATTAATCATACCAATGTGAAGTAAGGTGAGAGAAATTCAGCCAGGCTCTAAAAAGTTAGGCATTTCAGGGGACTAGAGAGATGGCTCAGAGTTAAGAGCGTTGGCTGCTCTTGCAGAAGACCTGGGTTCGAATCCCAGAACCCACACGGCGGCTAACAATCATCCACGGCTCCAGTTCCAGAGGATCCAACGCCCTTTTCTGACCTCCTTGGGCACTGCACGACACAGGTGTACTTACATGCAGACATAACACTGATACACATACAATGAAAATTAAATAGCATTTCAATTTGACTTTGAAATCTGTTTCACGTTTTATCGAAACAAAGCAACCAGCCAGGCTTGGGGGCATTTGCCAGTGACCCCAACATTAGAGGATCAAAAGTTCAGGTCATTCTCGGTTACACAGGCAGTTCAAAGTCAGCCTAGGTTACATGAGATCCTGTCTCAAAAAGGGAGAGGGATGAAAAAAAGCACTACAACCCCAAGGCACGATGTGCTGAAGCAGAGCACAGCACCTGTCCACACGGTATCACCTTCGGCACCTGACGACACTCCAGCCCACTGGAAGGCCACCACCTCTTCCTGAGCCCTACCCTGTGCTAAGATGACCACTTCAGACCATCTTGGGAGCTCGAGGCTCTTTGCTAGGATGAAGGCTGCACAAGGATCTAGAGTACTCAATTATTCTTTTAAAATAATAACAATAAACTCACCAGCTCAGCAAGCAATTTAAATGAACACGTACTGCCAAACTGAAATTAGGATAAACTGCCACACAGGTAATCACTCTCAGATGATAAAAATGACCATGCGACCAGCGTCAGGGATCTGTTTCAGTTTCCTCCTCAGCTCCTCTATAGTAGTAGTAGTAGCATAATTAATAAAAATGAGCTCGTTTAGGCTTAAGAGCTCAAGGAATCTCACATGCACATTATGTTATTCATCCTGAAAATACTCCTTCAGTAATGTCACTTTACATTTTTCTCTTCCACAAGAGAACATAAGGAAAAGTGACAAGCCACACACAGACAGCCAGCTCCCACCCAGCTAACCTAGCTCTCTCCATCTTTTTCAATGTGTTTTGTATAACCCTTCCCAAATTTCTATAAACACAAATGCCTATTACTGTACTTCTCTCCTGTATGTACGTATTCATTTGTGCATGTATTTGGGAGAGGTATGCAAGCACACGTGGAAGCTAGAGATCAGCACCGGATGTCCTCCTCAGCCACCTTCCACCTTCTATTTTTGAGACAGGGTCTCTCAGTGAACTAGGAGTTCAATTTGGTTAGTCTGGCTGACCAGCAAGCTCCAGGGCTTTCCTTTCTCTGTCTCTCCAGTGCTGGAGCTACAAGTGCATACCCAGCTTTTTTATGTGGTGCTAGGGATCTGAACTCAGGTCCTCATGTTTGCATAGCAAGCACTTCACTGACTGAGCCATCTTTCTAATCTCTATTACTTTTTTTTAATATTTTATTTTTATTTTATGTGTATGAGTGTATTGCCTGCATGTATGTGAGTGCACCCATATTGTACAATGCCGGAGGTCAGAAAAGGGCTTCAGATTCCCCTGGAACTGGAGTTAAGGACGGTTCGTAGCAGCCATGTGGTTGCTGGGAATCAGACCCAGGTCCTCTGCAAGACCAGTCAGTGCTCTTAACCACTAAGCCATCTCCCAGCCCTACTTTATTTCTTAAAGAAACAAATTATCCTGATGGATAAATTTTTATATGAACAAAATGGCAAAAAGCTTCATGTACAGAAGGACCATGGCTTTGATGTCAGATCAGAGAGTGAATCCCAGCTCTCGTACTTCACTTACACAAATTAACCTCAAGCCTTAGCGTTTCTGTTCAGAAAAATGTTTATCTCACAGGTTCAAGAGAATTAAACATAATTTTCAGGAAGATTATTAACCACTAAGATAAGATTCCACTTAAACTTAACTTAGCCATTAAACTGGACAGTATGACTCACTGAAAGATGATGGGATGGCTGAACATGGCCACACAGAGGCTCTGTAGACAGGGTCCTTGTGAGCAATAAATAGGATTATGCCTACAAAGGACAGGCATGATACAGTGCCAACGCATCACAGACTCATTAACCTATGGAATACTGACAGCCTGCATGGTTCAGGCTGAGATTCCATGAACATTCAAAGACTATCTATCCACTGTCTAAATGTTTCTGATTGAACCCAATGAAAGTCAATTCACTATGTCTTCTATTGATAATCACACCTAGAAAGGGGAACTTTATTTAAAAAAAAAAATCCTGTACCTTCAGAAAAGAAGGTTCAATCAAGGCAACACCAAGCAATCAGTATTTCCAATTCAACATTCAGTTCTAAGCTTCATTAATAATTCTCTCTGGAACAGAAGTGAGCATACTGGAGAACAGTTTAAGACAGAGCTATTTCTAAATTTTGAATTATTTTCTAAAAACAGAAAAAGTGAAGATCATTTAAAATGCAGCTCTGCAGAAATTCTTTAAGAGAGGAGGCAGGAGGAAGCCAGTGTCTCTGGAGGAAATCTTGGCTTGAGGAGCTCTCTGAAGGCCACACTGGTTAGAATGTGATCTCCAACTAGCCTAGAGCCTGACAGTCCCACTGAAGATCACATCTATGCAGCAGGAAATACAAGTTGCTTGAAGAGCTAGTGTGAAGAGTTAGAGAAGGTGAGTAGGAACTCTGCACTGGAAATACTAACAGATTTGTGTCTACTTATTACTTGGAAACAGTAAAATATAGCAACCAAGAAAAACCTAACATACTGTTTTTTTTTTTTTTTTTTTTTTTTGGTTTTTCTGTTTTTAATGGAAAACAAAGGCCAGGTATAGTCAGGGTAACTCTCCCAAGTCTATTATGTGTATACTAAGTTTGGCTTCACCATAGTTGATGGTTACAGATTACATTCAGCCCTTCCACGCCTTTCCTAGTACTTGGGGTTAAACCTAGGACCTTGTGTGTGCTAGGCAAAGGCTCAAGCACTGACTTACATCACTACCCATTTTTTTTTTTTAAATTTTGAGATAGGTTCTCACTAATTACCCAAGCTGGCCTTGAACTTGCCATCCTCCTGCCTCAGCCTCCTGGGTACCTGGAATGAATGGCCTGTGCCACCAGGCTTACCAGTCCTTAATTTCAGAATTTTATTCAAGAAGATTTAATTTATACCAGATAGCCTCATGCAACATTCCCTATAGAAATAAGAACTCTCACCCAAAGTGAACAGCAGGTAGGTAGCAACCTTTAAAATCTTGAGCAGCACCTTTTGTTTTAAGAAGAAGCAATGCAGGCATGTAACACATCTATAAAAAGCCTTGGCCGTAAAGGAGTAAGATCAGGACAGATCCTATGTGAAATACTTTCGTTAAAGTATAACAAGTCTGAGAGAGAAAGCTAAATTAGGTGTGTACATGAGTATTTAACAGTGAAGTACACTGATGACTTGTTTGAAATGCCTCAGAAAGAAATGGTAGCAGATGATGTACAGACAGTATATAATCAAGGTTCACCTACACAGTTATTCAACTTGTCTGTCTGAGTGAAGTCTTTCATAACAAAATATTTAAAAGAGGATAATATAAAAAATACTCCATGTATTTAATTTTTCTCTTAAGAAAAAAACCTGTAAAGAAAAAAAGGTTCCACATTCCTTGTTTCAGGCAAGTGGTGGACTTTAATCTCCATCTTTAAATAACACAAAAGGGAGTTAAAATCTCTGGGTAAAACAGCAAGGTCTTCCTAGTTTTACTAAGTAGAAGCTGTCTCTCAGCATTCTCTTTCTCTTCATCTAACATGCTAAACAAAAAGCAGAAAACACCCCGAGATGCTTAAAAGGAAAACAATGGGCTTTACATTAGTGTTAGGGTCTGGGTTATTAATCTGGACTAAGAAGTTCTATTTCTAAAAATGATTAAACCCAAAGATTCTGAAATCTATGGCCTTCAGAAGTTATTTTTACCCCACTATCACCACTCTCAAACTTCCTATGAAGCCTCCAAGAAAACCTTGTTTCAATCCAATTCACTTGCTATCTTACTGTCTCCTCCATAACAGAGCTCTGGGCCACATGTCACAGAGACCATCACTCATACACAGCATGCCTTTCTAAAACATGCAGCCAATCTGTATTAAACATAAAGACCCTCTTGTTACTCAAGAAATGACTTTTTTCAGTGTCCTCTCTTAAGCACTCTAAGAAAATTGTCCAAGTTACATAAGAAAATAAGAACATTCTTGAACAAAGGACCTGAGGTGCCTTCTGCAATTTGGTGGGGAAAGGAACATTCCTCATTCATAATTTAAATGTATTTGTATAAAATCAGTACCATTACTTTTTCTCTCCTAAATGGTCAGAGCAAAATACTTAATAGTAACGTCAATTAAATAACTAAAATCGACCAAAAGTTTAGGCACATAAGTCATTTTATGAGTCATCAGAAAACTTCTAAAAAGAGAGTAACCTAAATGTAAAAAGCAGAAATTTTTTCAAAATGAGTCTGACTCTCCAAGACGCAGCAGCTGGCACCCCACTTAAGACCTCTCCCTA